CCCTGCCCGTTCTCTTCCGTGACCTCGATCTCAGCGGTATAGATGTAATCAATAAGCTTCCGTAGGGTCTGCCCATCAACGTCTTTTATCTCAATCTTCTTGGCTTTACTTTCAGACATGTCTCCTGAAATTGATTTCAAAAGGACAGTTAGAGTTTGCTTGGCAGGACCACTTGGCAGAACCTTGCTCCCCACACATTCAGCACATTCTCTTGGTATCTGACTAAAAGTCTGCCTTAGCACTATCCCTGATCATCGAAAGACAACCAGCGAGATTCCCAGAAGCCTCCTAATGCCGCCTAAAAAACACCTCAACATTCAGAGACACTAGTGTAAAACAAAGTAAGTTAACACATGCAATTCAATTTCTTGCCAGAAAAGAACCTGCCATGGTTCACCTACATTCAAACACATATATGGTGGGGAAAAAAAAAAACAAACAAAAAACCACCAGTGTGACCCTCAACCACATCTCAGCCACAGACATACTCAAAGAGACTGTGGACAAGTCTTAGGAGGGCTTTTTTTAAAAATATATATTTTATATATTTATTAAATATATATACACACACACACACATAGGGTTGATAAGTAAGTTGCAACAGCTAAGTCATGGTGCTTTGTGGTATACCTTACAAGAAAAGCAAGGCAGCATTACCCTCCTTCTTTAGAAAGGACCCAAAACCTGCTGAGGAAAACAAGCACGCTTGCCAGCAGTGAAATCCAGTGTGCTGTAAGCTTCTCTCCTATATTACCCTGCTGTAACCTGTCCACGCAGTTACACCTTATGCAAAGCATCTGTGCAGAAAGATGTATTCCTCATCTCTCCCCATCCCAACCTCACACCTCAGAGACAAGGCAGCTTTGGATCCAAACTGTATCCTTTCTCCAAATACTTAACTTAAAAAAAAAAAAAGGAAACAAAATCAAAACAACACCCAACAAACAAAAAACAACAAACCATGCAGAACTAGAGAAATAATTTCCCCTATGAATATAAAAGTAAAACCTACGCCCATGTAAGAGTCTATATGAGAACTGCTGATTTATGCGCACTCTCCCCATCGTTGTTGTGACCAACACTGTGCAGGCACCATACGCATGGTGCACGCGCATCAGGAGCATGTCACAGGAACAAAGCCTGGTGTGGGGAGGAGAAAGGACTCCCCAGGCCCCTTAGAGCGTCTACGCACATGGTGACCTCACCCAGGTTCTAATCACCAAGATCTTGAGGAACCGCAGAAAGGAAAGAACAAACTCCCAAATGGAAAAGTAACGGTAAGTGAAAAAACAAAGGAGTGTGAAGAAATGTCAGCTCTTAAACCTGGGCATGAATAATCACTACTCTAAAAAATCTGGTGACTCAGTACTGCTGTGAGATTAAGAGTTCCTGCAGCCTATGGGAGAAGTAATTACAGCCTCCATCTCTGTATGGCATGCGAGAAGACGTGGCTGGGCACATGAAGTGTCAGATGCTAAAGGAGGTCCAAGCCTGAGCAAAATCTGTATCTGGAAATTGAACTTTGTGGGCTTCACTTATGTCAATAAGGAGGTAAATAACAGGAGTGGGTCAGACCATAAGTATTGCAAAAGTCAACAACATCCCAGGGGAAATGTAGACTGAAATAATATTTACTCTAAATTCGGTTTTTAAAATTAAATAATAAAATGTTATTCATAAAGGCCCATGAATACAAATGTGCAAGTACAAAAGGATAAATGGCCTACATTTAGGAGGCCTTCAAAGCAGGTAGGCCTTTTTAATTGACAAAATAAACATCACCTTCACACACTTCCTCCCCTCTCCAAAAAAATCACCTCAGGAGATGAGAGGAGGCTTCTGAGAGCAAGCCAGTCCCCACTGGCCTACATGGAGCTGGAGGTACCTGTACAGAGCACCCAGCCCAGCCCCACCTGCACAGCGAGGGGCAAGCGGAGCAGCCAGAGCCCTGCAGCGCTCACCAGGACCCGCGGAGCTGAGGGGAGGCTCAGGCACACACACCCGGAGATAGATGCAGAAATAACTCGGAGGGAACGATCCGATAACATCATCTGTCTTTGTGGCATTCATGTGACACAGGCAACAAAAATAAAAGCTATGTGGGCTTCCACACCCACCAGCAAGCTGCCAGCCCTGCATATGAATGGCCTCCACTGCCTCTGCTCTGGGAACAGCCCAGCGCCCAAGGAGAAAGGGGAGCCTCGTGTGCTGTGCCCCTCGGTCAGATGGGATCCGGTCCCTCCAGCCAGGCTCGTGCAACCAAGTTCCTGCCGCTTGCCAGCAGGAGCTGCCCTGGACATGTCTCTGATGCTGCAGAGCGAGGAAGCATCTGAAGACCCCACAAGCAAACAAAGGCAGGGGCTGGTGCAGATCAGGAGCAGGCAATGAGCTGTCCCTTCCTCCAAGCAAGACCCAAGGCAAACACAGCCTCTAAAGCACAGCTGTGGGCAGCCAGCAAATGGTGGGTCCATCAAAGCATCTCATTCCACAATCTTTCAGGAAAAAAAGAAAAAGAAAAAAAGAAAAAAGCTTTAAAGCCCACAAAACCACCCCCTACAATGTCTTTCACAAGTCAGACTCAAGCCTTATCCGATAGCTGAATGACAAAACAATTCAAAGCAATAGCATCATCTCCCATATACAAGGGCTGTGCTGAGAAAGCTGTAAGCTGGTACAGGGCTGCCCTGCACGAGGCGCTGCACAGATCCTGTCCCCACACCACTGCAGTCGGGGAGACACCAGGGACAGGGTAGGAGGAAGCAAAGGCGAGTACAACAGGCAGAGCATCTCAAAGGAAACCCTCTTTAGGGGACAGATTCTGCAGACACCAGCCCTGCATGAAGGCAAGCTCTTCATGCATCATGCTCAACACCCAGCAATGCTTTTCATTTTCTCCATTTCCTTCTGCTCATGAGAGCAGGGAGAGAGAAGAACCCTCCTGCTTTGTCACAAGATAAACTGCAGCCAGAATTGCAGCAGTTCATGGTGTCACGTTTACCCAGCTTGCCCTGCCTCCCACATACTGTGCTCCAGAGAGGCTTCCCAGCACACAACTACAGTTTTTGTTGTTTCCCAAGTCAGAGATGTGCTGAAGGAGAACACGAGTGGATTGGGTAACAAAACCACAGTCTCTCATGCATGAGGTGAGTGCTTTGAAGCAGCACATGAGCCCTGCAAGGGAGGTTTCTGTGTTGCTGCTTCCTCCTTCAGCACTTCTGAAGTTCCCCAGGTGTATACTCAGGAGCAGCATCACTGAAGTCTGTTACTCTTTCTGAAACTATTGTGTTTTCTTCTAAATGGGTGGAAATTACTGTCCCTTATCATCCCAACAGAATGGTGACAATGAGGACCAGCCACCATTTGAAGTAATGTAGAACGCCAGTATGAGAAGGGATGCTTAGGAAGTGCTGGGTCCTGTCTCTTCTTAAGCAGTGGAAAATACAAATGGAAGATGTGCCTGTTTCTTTTCGGACTTCCCAAGGCTATTTAAAGAGAAATACGTAACCAGAGGACACTAGACAGCTTAGGAAAGATCCCAATGTCATCACAAGGAGATTGTTACGTCCAAAGTCAGGCCCAAATTACAGTACAAGTATCAGGCAAAGATGGATGAGGTCCTGGTCTCAGTTTGGTTCCCACTGTTTACAGTTTTACACTGATAATTCACCACCGTGGTGAATGCAGCTGCCACCACTGTCGGGGGGCTCCTCCAGCACTCTGCGCCCCTAGAAAGTGGCTCCTCTGGCAGGGGCTCAGTGCCCATAGGCAGCTCCTGTCCAGTCCTGCAAACACTCACACGGTGTGGCTGCCCCTGAGCCACCAGGCTGCATCACTGATGTGCAATGCCAAAAAAAACCCACAAACAAACCAGAACAACCAACTAATGTTCAAGTTGTGATTTGAAAATGTCCCCTTCCAGAGAGTGAACCACCACACAGCTGGAAGGAGATCACACTCTCGGTCTTTGCAAGGGGGAGAACTAGACCTTAGAAATTCGAGACTAGCTGGACGGAAAAGCAAAGGGAGGGCTGGTGTCTGCCTGACCTGCTGCCCCTGGGGACGTGTCAGGGGGAGGGGACGGCGGTGGCCGAGGCTGTCACCCAGTGCAGGGAGCTGCCACATGATGGTGGTTAGCTGATTACTGTTTAACTGACGGTGTGAGGGATTACACGGCCTGGAGAATTCCTGCATGGAAACATGAGCAGTCCCGCGCCACTGCCTTCCCGCTCAGGTGACCTCTAAGGATCAGAGGGATTTTCCAGTAATTTTTCTTTTTTTAAACTTCTCCTCAGGAATGAGCATTACAAACACCCACTAAACCTCCCTGAGACACCCTGTGCAAATGGTTGCCTCTGAGCAGGGTTTGCTCCTCTGCCTCGCCACCACAGCCGGTACCCACAGCCATGGTGCAGTGCCAGTGTCCCAGCAAACACAAATGCCGATGAAAGCTGCCATGGCAAACCTCACATCTCGTCTCACATTCAGACATCTGTTCACACCAGAGGTTTTCTACCTCCCCCTCCACCTCCATTACAGAAGGGAAAAAAGCTTCCCAAATGACAAACCTTTTCCTGAGAAATGCTGTGTTCTGCTTCCAAGGAAAGCAAATAACACAAGGCCTAATCGTAAGGCTTTTAAAAAGAAGCAACCCCTATACCACAGGCAAAGGAACATGAAGCAGGGGCAAAACCCCCAAACCTCATTTATGCTGAAGCTGAGGGACAGTAACAACCAGTCCTTGGAGCATACAATCATTTTATTTGTATTTGGTCAAGTCAGTTCCTATCCTGGAAATGGGTGCAAGGAAAAGCAAAGGAAGCCAAGGAGCTCCTGACCAGACTTATTTTACTAGAATGACTTAAATAAATTCAGGGTCATTCCCCTGCCTTGGGATAAGCACAGCCTTTTTTGCTGCCCTACCTGGGCACAGCCTCCAAAAGGCCCACGCTACAGGGACCAGGAGATCAGAGCAATAATTTTGTCCTCCCCTTCACACCGAGATTGCATCTGCCCTTACTAAAATACACCAGACTGCAGCAACGCACCCTGCAAAAAGGCAGGGCTGCTAAAACACACTGGGATCGAGAGAACAACGGCGTTATTTCGGGCAGCAGGAAAAAGTGCCATGGGAGATTAAACATCCGTGACTGCAAATCAGCATCGGCAGGGCTGAGCCTTGAAACTACAACTCCTGTGCCAACAACTTCTTTGATGTGCACCATGAACATTTAGGGCACTGCACACATGCTTGATGTTAATGATGTGTTTTCATGACCTAAGGTCTTGTAACAGGAAAACAAAACAAAACAAACCACCCAAAAAGCAGTGAGTCAAACTTCGTAGTAACCTTCCTGTGACTCATATGCTACCCACACACCCCACACCCATTCAACCACCTCATACCCATGTATTGTGCCTCAAGGAATCAGCCAAGGATAACCAGCACCATCCATCAAGTGCAGCAAACTGCAGATCTAACCATACTTCTTCCCTCAAAGGAATCCTTTCCCCAGAGGCCAGGCCTACTGCCTCTGCTGCAGCTCCTGTCGGAGACGCAGCCAGAAGCCTCTGGGTTTGCAACGGCCCATTCAACCCAAGTACAGCATCTGGTGCAGAGAAGAGTACCTGTAAACATCGCACAAAAATAAGGGCTGCAGGCCGCAAGGACCACGCGGTGAGCTTCCATCTCCACAGTTTCGGCCACAATCACCACATCACAGAGGAGCCGCTTGCTGGAAAAAACACCAGAAAAGAAAAAGATCATTTCAGAACTTCTGGTTAGGCACAAAGCCACACCAGTATAGCCTGAAAAGTTATGCAGAGGTCCCATCGCTACAGACAAGGCATCTGAGCTTCTGCCAAATCCCAGTGGAAGGTCCCCTGAGCCTTCAGCTACCAGCTCCTATCAGTGTTTGCCTACAAAGCAAAAGCTTGAATTCTCCCAATGCTGCAGCCCTGCCTATGGTTCTGCTTTTCCCAGAAAAAAAAAAAATAATAAAAATCTGGAAGCCAAACTAGGTACACTTGCTGCCTGAAGAACAGATGGGCAAGGGGCTCCTTCCACCTCTCAAACAAGTAGGGCTTGGAGACAGCACAGTCTAAGAGTTCAGGCACTCCCTGCATCCAAGCTCTAGTAGATCTATAAGAGAAGAAATAGCCATACTAGGGAGCACCAGTAGTGCTTTCATCTTTCTGCAGGGGAAAGACAGAGTGGAAAAATGAAGCTACCTCCGTACTTCTTTCCATATTTGGCCCTACAGCATCTCCCAGTGCTGAACTGGTGCAGAGGCTGCCCCAGCTGCCTCCCAGTGAGGAAACCTCAATTACTGGAGTTTACCCATGGGCCCGAGGACTTTGTTTACCTCATGAATTAGTCTGGGATTAAGAGTCACTGGGATAAAGCACGAGGTTCCAAACAGAAACCCAAAATTGAGCTCCCCCACTGACTCGTTGTGCAGCTTTGGAAAAGGCACTTCATTAACTGGTGACCTTTTCTACCAGCCCCACATATGTCCTTTGAGGCTCCATTAGTTAATGTTTGCACAGGGCTTCAGAGATGCAGACAGCTAGAAGTGCTCAGCCTCCCAATAAGTTGGCTTAAGATGTTTAAGCATACAAATGCAAAATAAGGGTGTTCTTTACAAATGCCAAGCCTGAAAAAGGATCAGCTTCTGTAAATCTAGATGTCACCTTCTTTTCAGAAATGCTTATCACCACGCTGAACTTTGTCTTTAGAAAACTGCATATCAAATAAACACACACAGAGCTTCTTATGGACTAGGTATGTCTCCTCTCCTCCTGCATACATTGGAATACACAAACAAAACTGTTTGTGAAACTGGAGGATTATGGCTGGAAACCAGGATTCTACAGTTACAAGAAACTCGAAGTCTGTGCTCCATGTCCACCTCAGTCTGGAAGGGGTGATGGCAATAAGGGGAGCTCTTTAACAGTCTCTTAATGGAGGCTTCCTCATTTCCTTCAGGTTATGTGTAAGGTGCCCTGCTCAGTTCCTCTTTTAACTATAGTTATCTAAAGTGCCACTCACGAAATTAATTCATTTACATTTGAAAGCTAAAAATTTCAAGTGAGCAACATATAGTAAATAGGCTAGAGACTTAGCAAGACTTTTCTAGACCCTCTGTATGAGATTTCTGGATGCATTTGAATGGAGGCACCATTATTCAAGGTAGCTATTAACACTGATTGCTGACAGCTTAACAGATCACAAGCTCAATGCACATACAATAGCCGTGAGAATTGTATACGGCAGAACAGCAGCAGGAGCTGTCAGAAAGGAGTGCCCAGAAGAAGAAAACATCAAACAGGTGCTTAAGGGCAGCTTTCAGTCTTCTAGGTTTTATCACATCAGTATTGCACAAGATCTAGCTAACTGCAGGCACTAAGAAACATTGTCATCTCCAGCTATTCCCACTATGCTCCAATTAACAAAGGAATAATAGTAGCACAATAGATTTCTGAATATAGCTGCACAAACCTCTATTTTCAGATCCTTTGCCTTCCGTACAAAGAAAGGACTAGAGGGATGCCAGTAAAAAACCCATACTCTGCTTCACATAATTGTTACAAGGGAAGGATATTTCCATTTTCTGTTCCTATGCAACTGAGAATCGCTGTCAGACATCCACAGGAGACATTTCTAACTTCTCTGGGCCAAAGAACACGTATATTGGGAAATTATTTAATCCACAGAAGAGAGGTGGCTATTACAGCATCTTCTGAGTACTTTGAGCATGCAGGAAGAATAAAGGGTGCTATCTGCTTTCATCATACCATCTGGATAGTGAGGGAGCACACACATTCATGTGTATGATACATGTACTTTCCACAGGAATTATTTTTTTAATAGGCTTTTAAGTCTTTATTTGAATGGTAAAGGATTCAAATGAACCAGTCAAATGCTCACTGAACTTCTATCTGGTTTGTGGGATAACAACAACCAAGAAACAACTCGGGTTAACCACTGCCACGGCACTGCTGATGTGATGACAGCGGTTCTTGAAGACTGTTCACTGACATTTTTTTTAGCCTCCATTCTCCCTGTACCCACGCAACTGTGTAGAGACCAAGGTGTTCTCTTTTAACCAGTATCAGGATTTTTAAATGTGCAAGTAGAGAGCTGACATTCTTCCCAAGTTGTTGCTTTTTTATTCACCTCCTACTTTGGAGTGCTAAACCCAGACTGAATGACATTGCTAGTTAAAGAGAATAAGAACAGTACATTAATAATCTTTGGTCTGTAATTACGGGTAGGTGTCTTAATGTCTGTAATGTTCTATTATTGGTTTTCAGACCATTAGCTCAGTTAAGAACATAGTTTACAGCTGAATGTAAGTAACGGAAAAGACTAAATCAATTATTATCTATAAATGAAGGCTATTGCTCAGATAATGTTTTTGAGCCATAGCTGGCTTCCTTCTGCTGGGAGGACAGAGAGGTTTGAGACTGGGAAGAGCAGCCCACCACAAAAGGGCCATATTTCAGCTGACTCTTCCTACTTGTTTATTAATACCCTAACACACAACCATTAGCTGTGACAAAGATGGCACTTTTTTTTCCCCTACATCTCCTAGAAGCCCTTCTATTCCAATCAGCACACTACATCAGAGAGGGTGCCCATTAAGTCAAAAGTGTACCTCCGTAATTCATTCATGACCTTGAATGCCTTTCTCATGTGAGAGGGATTGACTGTCAGTGTGCGCTGGTCCTTTTCATCTTCAGCTGCCTCAGAGGATCGGGAACTCTGCTTAATGCTAAAAAACAGGGGAAAAAAACGAGTGGAAAGTTTGATTCAATGACACTTAAAAAAATTATCATAAAACTGCAGCACAGGGCATTATGCATGGAGTTACTTGCATGTTTGTTAATCGGCTCAGGTTCGCCATATGAAGAGCATCACAAAATGCAGCTACTTCTGCATGGATGTTGAAAGTCATGCCAGCCCACGCTTCAGTCAGCAGGGAAGAAAAGGAAAAAGTGCCAAACACTCGAGGACAAAGCCCAGCCTCACAGGCTTCAGGCCATGAAAGCAGTGTACGTTGAAATTCAAGCCAGAACATAATTGCCTTACTGAACAGAAACAGATTTCAGCACTGGGAACTACAAGAGTACCATGGCTCCTTTAACATCCATACAGAGAAATAGAAGTTTAGTCTTCAATGTGCCATCTGAAAAATGCAAACATACAATACATGACTTGTATCTTCTTCCACAGAGGCAAGTAGAAAAGGGCTACTAAAACTCCCTGCACAGCTTCCAAAGCATTAGCTTTACAGTGGCCACATCTCATTTCGATTTTAGAAATAAGTCTTAGTGCCACTTTTCTATAGAAAGAATTATTAAACCACACTTCCCTATCAGAACCACCAGTTATACAGGTAATGCCAAACCAGATGCACCCAGTTATGTGCTGTGCTTAACCAGGCCAACAGGTGCCTAAGGCACATACGCGTCCTCATTACTTTGTTGGGAGCATTGGCTCTTTATACAGAATTAACATCAGGTCAATATCTCCGCCTCCCTGATCAGAAAGTGTGTGAAATCACTCAGAGCTAAAGGTTTCCACCTATGACAAAAGTAGCACTTTGAGCAAGGACGGCTTCCTCCAGTGTCACGGTTGCCCCTTCCCCCCCCCACCTTTCTTAGTTGGGCTTGTATCACGATAAAAAAAGGCTGAATCAGGTTAAACCAATAGCCTGGGCAGCCCAGCATACTGACTCTAGTGGTGACCAGACGATGGTATCTGAAGAAGGGTACAAAGCCAAGGAATTGTGGAAGGATACTTCCAGAGAACAGTCTGCCAGCCTCTGCAAAGGTGTGTATGCATGCACATATATAGATATATAGACATATACTCACACACAGTAACTTTTTCTTCAGAAAACACAATTATTCACAATTTACAACGCCTTGACAGTGTGAAGCCCTTGCTGAACACTACACTCTCCCCATTGCCTGCTCCTGACTGATGGCTGTTACCAGCACCGTGCCTCTTGAGACCACACGAAGCTCTTTGACCCCCAGCTGTCCTCAGTGGGCTGCACTGTCCTTCTTCTAGAAACAAGACGCTGAATAGCAGCCAAGCTGCATGCAGCCAGAATACACGCCTGCATACTGAGTGGCCTCCAGCTTTGTGCCTGAAACAAAGGTTAATGCCCAAAACCAGCCAAGTCCAATTCCTTCACTTTGCTGAGCAAGTGAATTTTTTTCAGTCAGAAGTGAAGCCACGAGGCTGAGCACAGCATCACTCAGCACACGTCTCAGACGAGGGAGACAACTTCCCAGGCTGTGTTACAGTCATCATCCAATTAGCTTAGTATGACTGGACTGAAAGAAAAAAAATCAGAGAGAAAAGTACCTCTTGTTAAATGTTTTGTATTCAAGGGACTGGTACCAGGCAATGACACAGCCAGCTTCTCTGTCCTCAGAGAAAGCTGAACTCATTCTGTGCCACACGTAGCACTAGTAGCGTTCATGGGCACGGAGAAGCAGGGGCAGTCAGCTCTTCCCCAAGCCTGCACACCGCAGCGAGGGAGTCTCCATGCTCCAGGGACGTTGCCAAATTCAGCTAAGCCTCAGTGCTGTATCTATCAAAAGCCCTGGGTGAAATCTCAGGCCAAGTGAAGTTTGACCCCAGCTTTAAACACTCCAGCATAAACCCTTGCTTTTTGAAACCTGCCCTTGCAGCATGCCAGAGCCATGGAGTGAAAAATGAAGCTCTGGAAGTGCAAGTGACTTCATGGAGCTTTCCATCTCCAAAACTAAAACACATACAAGAATCAAACAAACCAAACAAAAAAGAAAGAAAAAGAAAAAAAGAAAGTGAAACTGAAAGGCATCGGCATAGACAGCTGTACCCATTGCTCCTGGGGCAGGACAGCTGGATCACCACAGGACACAGCTTCGGTCATCGCAAAAACAGACCTTGCAGGATCCAAAATCAAGCGATGCACACAAAAATCATGAGGCTTCTTTAATATGAAAAAGCACGCCACTGGGATTGATTTATTAGCACTTCAGCGCCAGAGACCGAAGATTCATTATGTTCCAAGTTTTCCGCTGGCAAAAGGTACAGTTGAAAGGACACAGCAAGTTTCATTGAACACCAAAGTAAATGTCAGATCAACAAGCCTTCATAAAGCCTCCACTCCACCAACATTTGTCTGTGTATTTTAAAAGCAAAAACCTTGCTTCAGAATTTATGAAAAGGATCAATCAGTTCTTCCTAAAAAGCACGAAAAGTAGCTTTTCAAAAAGCACCATAAAAGATACCCTCAGCTTTATTAGCAGGGGTGGATTTTGCATTTTGCCAAAGGCTCACCATGAGAAAATGCAGCAGATTGTCTAGTTAAACACTTGTTTCAAAAAAAAAAAAATTAAAAAATCAAGATATGCTATTTAAAGTTTTTTCCAAATGACTCATATAAAAAACACATTTGAAAAATTAATGGCCAAGAGCCTTTAACTCAGCTTTGAGACTGACTCAGCTTCCACAGAACTGTGTTCCCGTAACGGACGGAGGACGATTTTATCAGGGAGAAAGACTTCACACCCCCAAGCACGTACTCCCAGAGATCACCGACACACTTCCAGTGTAAAAATAGAAGGACCTAAATGATCCAGGCAAATGCAACCTGCCACAAAGCAAAAGCTACCCCTGAGAAGACCAAAACAGTGCATTGCATAGCCCTTTACAGAGGTTTTTCCCCTCACAACACTAAGAATTATTACACTGTTACTATATTAATGGAGCAAAGCAAAGGAGGAACAGTGTCCTCTGGTCAAAGGTGCTGGCCCAGGCCACCTGGACGTGCCAGACCCCTGCACCCCAGGACCATGCAGACTTTCCCCCCAGCACCCTCGTGTTTGTCTTGCTGATGTCCTACTACTCCAGCAGGACACGCAAGCTGGCTCTGCCAGGAGCAATTTGTTCTATTCCTGGGCTATCTGAGGCCGTGCACTGAGTGAACGGACAAATGATTTAATTTCCCTGGGCCAGATGAACATCCTCGTTATGGACACAGCAGGATTCTCCTAAAATAAGCAGAGAGGCTTTTACTTTCAGAGACCGCCAACCCCACCACCACCTCCTGCATGGCCTTTCAACTCAGTCCCTGTGTAGAACAAATGAATCCTGATTTGAGAGCCCCAAATTAAGCCAGTGAAGCTAATCACAACCCTGTTTACACTGTGTTCCTCCTCTCTGAGACCCACCAACAGAGCTTGGCTCAAGCTGCCCGCGGGCTCGCAGCACCGCTCCTGCCTGAGCGCGGTCGCATACCAACCCACAGAAAGGTATTCTAAAAACCCATAACCTGCAGCTCTGCTGCACGCATGCATCAACTATAAAGTTGTGTTGCCTTAGTTACCAGTAGTAATTACAGATGTCTTTGTAGATTACGTGAAAGAATAAAAGAGCTAAACCTTAGAGCTAAACCATCCCCTGGCAAGATTACTGCGGTCCAGAGAGCTGGTAAACCCCAGGAACAAAAATCCCAGCTCTGCCAAAACCAATTCTACCACATTGGAGCCAGGAGTTCACCCTAAAGAAGGGGCCGATCTCAAATGTGTCCTCCTTCAGTGCAGAGAAGGATGAGCTTCTGCTCATGTTTCTGGGAGAACAGCTGCCAGGCTCAGCTCCTAGCCCACATGAGGACACCACGAAGGTCTCTCTCTCCCAGGCTCTCACACTGGAGAGACAATGGGAGTCCAGACACATCCAGCCCAGCCCCATTCCTCTCTGCAGCTCTGGAGGATCTCTGAGCTCCCATCTCCTGCCTGCACACTGCAGGCTGAGGTCTGCTCTCCTGGGTTGTCCCATAACACTGCAGAGCTTCAGCCCCCCGAGGTTGGCCAAAGAGTCAACAGGGCTCGGCATCCTACACTCCCACAGGGCAGACAATCCAAGACCTCCACTGGCACTTCATATCTTTCTATTCACTCAAAAGGGCCACACTAACTGTAAATCTTCAAAGCCTATGGAGCTTATTTGTGGGATACATTAAAATCATCATGGTAAAGAGTTAATCTTCAGTTTCTGAGTTTGAAGTAGCTCTGATCTAAAAATTTGATAGATGCCCAATAAACATTTACTAGTCTTCAAAACTTAAATGCCTCTACTGAGATAAACGAAGATCAAAATATTAATTTAGCCATAGCAAAATGAGAAATAGTTTTACCTGGAGTAACTGTTTGGAATCAATGGCCAAAATCATGGAGCAAATGTTATATCCAATAGTTTTACTCTTTGAATTAGGCAGACACAGTAAGAAAAAGATGCCAGTGTAACGGCATATTTATAAAAAATCACAATTTCTGATTTTTTCTTTAGGTATATACAAAGACAGTAGAAAAATGTGATGAAAGGAATCCAAACACCAAGACGGATTTTGAGAGGATTTCAGAGAAACATATTGTCAATAAAACATATGGGAGGTAGCATAATGGAAAGGATTTATTTTTTTTTCCTATAATAGCAATATTACTTTCCTGTTTTGTTGAATTTTTTCAGTGCCTACATCCACATGGAGAATTTAGCTTAGAAAAAACACAATCGGTATACACCAGATCCCCAAAAGGATATTCACATCAAAGGATACCTCAGGGGAAAAGCAGATTTCAGGAACTAGTGAGAAGAAAAGTCTTTGCTGACAGTAATGGGAACACCACAAAATAACTCAAATATGACAATACTATTTGCTTTCAATGGCAAATATTGTATTTCTCAAACAAATAGTACAAAGAGACTACCCCCACTCAAAGATAAAGTTAAAATTACAGACATTTTAATTCTTCAACCAAAAAGAAATTAACATTCCAGAGGTTTTTTCCTAGTCAAACTCAAAACATACTTTGTAAATTCAGAACCATAGTACCATGCCCCATCATATAGCCTTAAGTAATTTCTCTATAAAATGAAAATCCCTGTTGGCACAGTAAAAGAAAATCAGGATTCTGCAATAATTTACTGCCAAACACGAATGTCTCAGGTTGAGTCCTTCTTGCCCCCAGCTGCTTCTGCCCATGTGCAACGACATGGGCACATGATACTACTGAACAACTCGGGTGTGCAAGTTACCAGGATATTTGAGTCTGGGCAAGCTTGGGACCAGAGTCAGAGGTGATGTGAGCACCAATAACGTGTTCCTCACAAACTACAAAAATGGAAAAAGCAGAAACATTAAAAACCAGGGGGAATTCTGCTGTCATGAAATTCACAGAGTATAAAATTTGAGACCTAATCTGCATGACATAGATCCAAGTTGAAATGTGGGGCAAAAGCACAAAAAGCAGGAACAGAACCAGCCGAGGGTGCTCGCCCACCAAGGTCATTTGTCAACACCTCCTCCCAGGACTCGCTCCAAGCACACAAAGCAGTCCCAGCACAGTCTCGCACAATGTCCCCTTTCCAACCAGAAAGCAGGTGAATATTTCCAGCTCTCCTTGCCAAGAGTCAAACCCCACACCATTACTGCCCATGGCCAGTTCCGGGCCACCTTCCTCTTCCTGAAAACTAGAAATACAAGCAGCAATTTGGGTAATCATTCCTCACTTCCAGAGGCAGAGTACACGCTGATGGAGGCAGCCCCTTCATGCCCTAAAACGAGATGGTCTGGGAAAAAAAAAGGATGAGGCAAAACAGTTCAGGCACTTCCCCAGTGACTTTTTCACCACTGTATCCCCAGCAAAAGGCCTCCAGTCAAAACGAGACCATTGCTGGTAACTATAAAAAGAAAAAAAAAGGAGTAAGTAATAGTGCCAAGGATGATCCCTGCCTGGGGTATCAAAACAGCTCCACTCCACTTTCTCAAACACTAGACTCATTTATATACATAAAGAAAAAAAGAAGGAAAACCCCTTCCATGGACTAGCACCTAGCATGACAAGCTAAGATTTCAAGGCACTTTAAATTAATTAATATCTGGATTAATATCCAGAGGTGGCCATTCACACCTTTACAGGAAGCAGAAGCCCTACAATGTAATTTAAAGAGAGATGTGGCAGGTTGAAAGTTTTATTTATTTAGTAGTAGTACAGGTCAAGCCCGCTCTGCTCCCCCACCCCCTGCAAGGTCACCAGCACAAAAGGAAGCACTCAGCATATCCTGGTGTTCTTTTTCTTAAAAAAAAAAAAAAAAAGAAGGAAAGAAAAGAAAAACCAAACCAGTTTAATGTTTAGTTTGAAGCAGTGCAAGCAAGCTTCTCGTGTGCAAAACGCACCCAGACATTGGGGAGGAAGAACGAAGGCAGAGCTGAAACACTGAACGTCTCTCTCTGGCATCTATGAGATCCCTGAGCAGCAATAATCTCTTTTAGGTGTTCAGTGGACATTAGGTCGACCCTGTGAGCACTTATGCACACAGTTTTGGAACAAAATAAGCTGCCTGGCAGGAAATAAAGTGTATGTGGCTCAGCTAGCATTTCAGGGAGACACAGGATCCCCTCCTGCTTGCCGTAACACCTGAGATGCACACACACAGACAGGTAAATTGACCCCTGAAGGCTCTACAGATGCTACAGATTTTCATTCATGACTCAAAAAACCGTGGGTATGCCTCCAAATACCAGCCTTCAATTCAATGACAAAGCCAGCCACAGGTTCAAGATCCAAGCAAGGCAGACTCAAGCCTGGCGTTTTGTGAGCCACATCTTGGCGAGGGAACGACCCCGCAGCCCAGCACCCTCTCCTGTCCCCCACCTCCCTGCTCCACCACCGATTTTAAAAAACACCCACGGGAGCAGTCTCCTTCCCCTCGTTATTCATCCCTAAAACACATTCCACTGAAAACCCACCCCGTTCCCTGGGTTTGGGCACAGGGGGCGAAGCAGCCCGGCACCATGACATTGCAACATCTGGGGATAAAACAGCAGGCGCTCCTCGCAGAAGGTATTCCTGCAAGCGGGCAGGGATGGGGAGGAGAAAAAGGGGAGGGAGGACGGAGGAATCCCGGCAAGCTGCGTCCCGCATGCCTGCGCACAGCCACGGAGAGCTCCCCGGGGCACAGCATCCCCACCCCGCATCCCTTCGGACGGGCACGGCAGTGTCGGGGCGGACACAAAGGCTCGCCGGCGGTACCCACCTCTCCTCCTCCATTGTGCG